TGATTGATGTCCCATCCTATAATCTTACAAATGGACTGCCCATATGCCCGATGAGCCTGCCTACCCTTCGTCTTGGTCACAGAAACCGAATGTTGAACTAAAGCCAGACAGTCTTTGTACTTCTTCACACTTCTCTTCCCCACTGCGTAACACACCAGACAGCTGAATTCCCCACCTGCATAGTTCATCACGTAGTACTTCCTCAGTGCACTGTCAGTCTCATACAATTTTTCAAAAAAATCAAAGTTCCTGCACCCTTCTCCCTCAGTTGTATCATCCATGTCTCCTTCCTCAAATTCATCTATGCATTCATCCTCGTTTCCTTCTCCATCGGCGTTGTATCTACAGCTTAGAAAATCACTTACGGCCTTCAAAGCAGCTTTTTGGGCCTGAATAGAATCCATCAGGGCCTGTTCTTCTGGGGTTAGCGAACGGGGTTGGGAACTTGACTGGATGGAGACACTGGGCCAACCATGAGCAGTTGCCCGCCGCGTATCTTTTCTTATTTTGCAGGACCAGTCAATTCCGGGATCTGAATATTCCCTCTGGATTCTGCTCCGTTTCACGGGAGGTAAGTATCCCCTTCTAACGAATGTTGTTGGGCGGAGGAAATACGGATTTGGGATAGGGTTTTGGGATCGCGGTGGGCCTCTATGCCAGAGAGAATGGAGGTACATCACTTCTTCTCTGAGACGCTGTTCTTGGTAAGGATCCATTGAAGCTCGAAACTATGGCACAAAGACGAGCATGGCGGAAGACTGAAAATCGGGAAGAATGTATGCAATTGGGTAGAGCAAATGGTTAGAATTTAAAGGAGGGCGTTTGGTAGTGGACGAGAAGGTTTAGACATAGACACAGTAGAAATTAGACTTTGCAAAATAGTTGGTCAGGTCGGGTTTGGGTTCGGTATAATCGGATTTGGGTTAATTCAGATTCGGGTCACTTTGGATTCGGGTCTAAGAGTGCTCGTTCATGACCCAGAATTATCGGGTTCGGGTTGACCCAACGGGTTAAGAGGCGTATTTAAAAATTAAAAATTTTCCTCATGTGATCCGAGCATTATTCAAAACAAATTATGAAATCAGAAAAGTTTGAAGTTCAATTTACAACATACCAAAAGAGAATTGCAATATACCCAAAAAAATCACCTTTTTGCAGCATAACATCTAAAAAAAATTGCACTAGATGAAAAAAATTGAAGATTCTTTTAACATACCCAAAAATATAAATACGTTATAAAAAAATTGAGATTCTTGCGTCATACCAAAACAAAAGAAAAGAATTAAAACTTGAGTTACACATAGGAGCAACTGAAGAGAATGAAATAGGATTAAAAATTTCACTATTGTTCTTGTGTCTTCTCACCATTTTGATTGAGTCGGCATCTAATATCGACGAACGGTGGAAGAGTGGAAGAACAATATATATATATATATATTTTATGTCCCGGAAGTGAGCACCAAACTCGGTGTCGTAAGGCCGGGGAACACTTACCTAATTTATTAAATAGAGAAGGGGAATACACTTTCGCTAGGGACTAAAAAGGCCCCGGAAGGTAAAAGGAGGAAAGATAGCCAAATAAAGTACAGAGACAAACTGTAGACTAAAAGCTAATGAATCTTTTTCAATTTCCCCCGCGATGATGAGTCGTCCATCGACTTTGAGGTGAGCTTTGGAGATTGAGCGCCTTCATGTCCTCCTTATTCGCAAGTTTTTGTGCTCGTTTATTGGACCAAAACCAGCATTGAATCTGTTTTTGAATTGCTATGATGGAAGAACGATATATATATATATATATATATATATATATATATATCCATACTTTATTTAAAAAGACATGGATTCAAGAGATAGTTTTCCCGCCCATGCTTTATTACATTAAAAAATTGCAATTGCTCACTTAAAATGGTAATGACTCAAGTACATTAATTAATTTAATTACGTTAAAATGGCCTCCGCCAACATAATTATGGCAATGAATGGCAATTAATATATATTACACGGTACTAAACAATAATAAATAATTAGGCAATTAATGACAATTAATATTACACGGTATTATTTTTCGTACACTCCGTAGAGTTCCTTTCGTAAGTTATAATACTAAACGTGATTAATATAACTGGTAAGTTAATATTACACGGCATTTCTTTTTTTGGCAATTAATATTACACGCTATTTCTTTTTTTTGGTAAACTAAACATGATTAATATAATTGGAAATAATTAAAAAAGAAAGTTAAACAATTATAAGTCCAGATTCACAAAATAGGAAATTTTAAGAAATAATAATAATAATAATACTAAACGTGATTAATATAATTTGGAAATAATTAAAAAGGAAATGATAAGTTGATATTATACAGTATTACTTTTTTAGACAATAAATATTACACGATATTTCTTTTATTTTGGTAAGTTATAATTCTAAACGTGATTAATATAATTGGAAATGATTAAAAAAGAACGTTAAACAATTATAAGTCAAGATTTGCAAAAAAAGGAAATCTTGAGATATAATAATACTAATAATACTAAACGTGATTAATATAACTTGGAATTAATTAAAAAGGAAATGGTAAGTTGATATTACACGGTATTACTTTTTTACGCAATTAATATTACACGATATTTCTTTTTTTTGGGGTAAGTTATAATACTAAACATGATTAATATAATTGGAAATAATTAAAAAAGAACGTTAAGCAATTATAAGTCAAGATTCGCAAGGATAGTTGGGAGGAAATTCCTTTCCATGGGGGAATGCTTAGTCTCTTCAAAAGACTTCATCATCTCAAAGAGAAACTTTCTTCCTGGAATAAAACTCATTTTGGCAACATTTTTAACATGATTAAGGAGGCGGAAACTGATGCCACTAAAGCTGAGCAGTTGTTTGAGGCTGACCCCTCAACTGATAACAAAATCCTTTATAATCAGAAATTGGCAGAACTTCAGGAAGCTCATAGGAGAGAATATGCCTTTTGGAAGCAAAAATGCAACCTTAAATGGTTGAAAGATGGAGATGCCAACACAAAATTCTTTCACATCCTGGTGAAAGAAAGGAGGAGAAAACAGCAAATTACAAGTCTTTTCAATGATCAAGGTCAATTAATTGATAAGCGAGATGAACTAGAAGCCCTTGCAGTTACCCATTTCCCTACGCTCTTAAATTCTTCAGAACCTTGCAGCTCTAGTGAAGCTTATTCACAGTTTCTTAGCACCATCCCTCATCTTTTAGATCATAATCAGAATGAATGTCTTATGTCTCTGCCCACTGAAGAGGAAATCAAAGTTACTGTCTGGGACATGGATCCTAATTCCTCTCCTGGTCCAGATGGTTTCAACATCAACTTTTTCAAGCAATGCTGGGATATTATCAAAGGGGATTTAACTTCTGCTTGCCAAGAGGTCTTCCTAGGAATTCCTCTTCCCAAGGCAGCAAGTTCATCCAATATTTGCCTGCTTCCTAAAACTTATAATGCTATGAAACTCAATGATTTTAGACCAGTTTGCCTATCTACTGTGGCCTCAAAGATTGCTTCTAAATGCATTGCTAATAGGCTTGGAAAGCTCCTTCATCTGATTATTTCTGAAGAACAAGGAGCTTATGTTCCAGGAAGGGAGATTATGGATCAAATTCTTATCACTAAGGAGTTGGTTCATCACATCAATAGGAAAGCTCATGGTGGAAACCTTATCGTCAAACTTGACATGGCCAAAGCTTTTGATAAGCTTAAATGGTCATACCTGATGGACATCCTCAAGGCTTTTGGCTTCTCTCCTCAATTCATTCGCATGGTTAATAACCTACTTACCTCATCCAAATATTCTATTCTGGTCAATGGCAAACCATGTGGATATTTTGGACAATCAAGAGGGATTAAACAAGGAGATCCTCTCTCTCCTCTCCTCTTTATTATTGCTAATGAAGGTTTCTCTAGAAACCTTAACAAATTGTTTCTTGATGGCTTCATTGACAGGTACAATTTAGGGAGAAAGTCCATCCCTATTACCCACCTTTCTTATGCTGATGATATCATCATCTTCTCTTCGGGACATAGCCGATCTGTTTCCAACCTCAAAAGATTCCTCCACGATTACCAACTGGTATCCGGGCAGACCATCAATTACACTAAGAGCAGCTTCATGATGGGTTCCAAGCCTAACTCTTTAGCCATATCCAAGCTGGAAAGACTCCTGGGAATGTCCCATAAGAGCTATCCTTTTACTTATCTAGGTATTCCTATTGACTTGGGAATCATTAGACATATTCACTGCACCAACCTTATTTCTTCCTTCGATTCGAAGTTAAATGGATGGTACCAAAAAAACTTGGATCAAGCAGGTCGTCTTGTACTTATTTATCATGTCCTTAACACTCTTTCCAACTATTTCTTGGCAACTAACACACTCCCTAAATCCATCAAACACTTGTTGGATCACAAAACGGCCAAATTTTGGTGGGGAGGAAATCCTTCTAAGCATCATTGGAGAAGTTGGCAGAAGCTCTGTACCCCCAAAGACGAAGGTGGCCTGGGTACAAGAGATTTCAATAGCTTAGAAAAAGCATTCAGTCTTAAACTTTGGTGGAAATACAATCATGATAATGGATTATGGACAAAGCTAATGAGAGCTAAATATTGGAGGGATGGTGAGGGCCAACATTACTGATTCCCCAGTCTGGAAGAGAATCTTCAACATTGACAAATCTGCCATTGACACTTGTTCTGTCTCTGATGATGGCATGATGCACTGGAAGCTTGATCCTAATGGTTCTTTCACCTTCAAGTCCGCATATGAATTCTGTAGAGCAGGTTCAACCCCCATGGCCTCTTTTAAATACCTAGTTTGGGAATCCCCCCAAAACCCAAAAATCAACATCTTCACTTGGAAACTGTTCCAGCATTGTATTCCTACTCCTGAAAATCTGCAAAAACTTGGTTTCCTCATGCCTTCAATGTGTCCTTTCTGTCAAAGGGAATCTTACACTGCCAAACATTCCCTAATTGACTGCCATATGATCAAAGGGGTTTGGCATCATTTCTCAGCCTGTGTTGGAATCTTACACCGCGACTCCTCAAGTATTAACCAACACTTCATGAATTGGTGGCTTAGAGGAAACAATAACATTTATGGTTTCCTAAGAAAGCACATGCCTGGAATCATTTCATGGCACATTTGGAAGGCACTTAACTCACTTCTCTATGAAGACAAGAACAGTTTCAATCCCTCAAAGCTTATTGATTCCATTTCCAGGTATACAAGGAACTGGCTCCAAATGAAACTGCTTAAACATCTTAGAGTTTTTGATGCTTGGCTTATAGGCACAAACTTACTGCTTAAATTCCAATCCAATCCATCCATTCGATTGGTCAAGTGGCTAGCACCTCCTAAGGGCAGGCTCAAGCTTAATGTTGATGCGTCTTTCACTCATAGTGCTAAGCATGGAGCAGCTATTCTTAGAGATGACCAAGGAAGATTAGTTGGTGCCGCCTCTTTCCAAGTTACAGGTGAATCACCCTACCAAGCTGAAGTGGATGCAGCCATCAAAGGAATAACATGGGCGCTCAAGTTTAATAAACTCCTTGTTTTCGAGACGGATGCTAAGGAAATCACTGTGAGACTCACAAAATATGTGCATCACTCACACTCTCCTTTTCCAATTGATATATTGGGTACCATGATCATAGATAACGACATTTGGACGTCTCATACTCTTCGAGAAGGAAATCAGCCCGCTGACTTATTAGCCAAAGAAGACACAACCAAAGGATGCAGTTTTATTGAATATTGTAATATTAACGTTTGTTCTTCTTCTGTAAAAGCCGCTCTCTTTAACGAGAGTGTACCCTCCTTTCGATTTCATTAATAAAATTTTCATTTATATATATATATATATATATATATATATATATATATGTATGTATGTATATATATATATATATAGTGGTTCCCCCTGTAGAGATGGTCACAGGGTTGATTGGCGAACCACACCACCCAGGTTCGACCCTCAGAAGGGGCAACTTTGGGGTAATTTTAAAGGAGTTAAGCGTGCTGGCCATGGAGTAGTAGAAATGATGGGTGACCCCCTGGGAAGTGTTTGCAGATTTATGGGGTTGGGCTTTAGATTGGGTTTCTTATAGTGGGCTATCTGCCTCGGGTGTTTAACGGGCCCCGGGGCAGTCACGAGGTTAACAGGCATCGAGCCCCCTGCTTGTAATCGACCGTTCCAATAATATTATTAAAAAAATTTAAATATAATATATATATATATATATATATATATATATATATATATATATATATATTTTGAGCAATCAATTTGGGTCATTAAGGATGCTCTAAGATCCCCATTCATTAAGGAGAAGATTCAGAAAGGTTTAGTTAAAACTCTGGAGGGTAAGGCACTAAAAGCGACAAGAGATGCAATGAAGAGCACTCAGTGCATCAGGGCTATGAAACTGAAAGGTGCTAGACATCCAGTCCTATTATCCTGTGCCAACATTGATGAACCAATAATAACAACCATTTGTGGTCATCTCATCGACTACGAATGATTTGGAGTAGGTTGAATGCTACTTTATGGATTATTGTATTTTTAAGAACTGTGATGGGAAGTTTCAGAATGGGATGTTTTTAATTTGCTTTATGGCCTTTGCTAAGCATGGATTTGGTCTTTATGGCTTCGAGAGAGAACAATGTGTTTCTAAGGGTTAAGCATATTTAGGTCTATGGAGTTGAATGCCTTTTGGAGTTCTGATTAATGGAATTAACCTTTTGTTAGGTTTTGTGATGTTAGTGTTGGCTTTGATAGAGGAGCAGGGCTGCAGCACTCTGTTATGGACATTTTCTTAATAAGAATTTAGCCTCTGGATGCACACCTAGCTTCATGAGGTTGCAAAGGGTGTTGTAGGATTGCCATGCTGCACTAGAGGAAGAAGGTTTAAAATTGAAGATGGCACCAGTTAGGGAGAAAAGAGTTAGGGGCTGTTTGTTTCAGCCTCTTAATGGTTCAGATGTCTGAATGGTTCAGCACTTAATGGTTCAGACTGTTTGTTTCAGCCTCTTAATGATTCAGATGTCTGAATGGTTAAGAGATTTGCCTCTGAATGGTTAAGTATTATACAGAGTCTGAATGATTAAGACCTCTTATCTGAATTGATCAGACATTTGCCTCTGAATAGTTAAGCAATATACTAGCTCTTAATGGTTCAGACCTCTTACTGGTTCAGTACTTAATGGTTCAGACCTCTTACTGGTTCAGCACTTACCGATTCAGAAGTTGCCAAACAGCCCCTTAGTCTCCCTCAAACAATAGCAGTCTTTTACAGGCTTGGGAAATATCAGTAAGTTTTGGTTTGCAAAATAGATCGAGAAGGGGTTGGAGTAGCTTCTCTCTCTGGGAATCTCCAGCTTGACCCACACTTGGTTTGTCAAGACAGTTTTTGTGTTTTAGCTTCTGGATAATATGCTCCCTAGATGTTTTGTACTCTTCCCATTTCATGTGCTCTTTGGGTTTTCTTTGTGTTTGGCCTATTTGTTGGGGCTTCTGGCCACCCCACCCCATCCTTTTCTTTTTTCTTTTTCTTTTTTAATAAAATATCTTTTCATTAATATATATATATATATATATATATATATATAGGGATTGACTCTAGTGAGATGACACCTTATGGTAAGATGACATGCTTCAATGAGATGACACAACACACAACACTGCCAATGGAAAGCTCACCAACTGCCAATGCAAAGCTCACCAACTACCAATGCAAAGCTCACCAACTATCAATGCAAAGCTCACCACTTTTTTTAAATAAAAAAAGTTAAAAAAATAACACCACCACTCAACCACCACTCAACCACCGCTCAACCACCGGTCCACGGCAATAGTGGGGGTCATCGGTGGTGGCCATTGGTCATGGGCGGTCAAAGTGTAAAGCTCACCAACTATCAATGCAAAGTTCACCAACTGTCAATGGAAAGCTCACCAAGGAACAATGCAAAGCTCACCACTTTTTTTTTTTTTTAAAAAAAGCTAATAAAGCAAAGCTCACCACATTACACTACAAAGCCCACCAATGGACAATGCAAAGCTCACCTAGAAATAAAGCAAAGCTCACCACTTTGAACCCCAAAACTCACCTTTTTTTTTAATTTTAAAAATTAAAAAATTAATTAAAAATAAAATAACAACACTTGTCAACCACCGGTCAAGGGCGGCGGAGCAGCAGTGGCGGCCGGAGTCCGGCGACGACGGCGGCGGCGACCGTTGACCGGCGGCGGCCGGCGGCGACGGCGACCGGCGACCGGCGACCGGCGGCGGCGGTGGCGGCGACTGGCGGCGGCGGCAGGCGGCGTTCAATGCTGCAGTCAACCGTCAAAGTCCAGTCAGCACCCTTTCCTTTGATTTTTATTTGGAAAAAAATTCAAAGTGTTGAAAAAATATGGTGAGCTTTGCTTTACACTTTCGTGAGCTTTACAGTTGTCTTTGGTGAGCTTAACAGTGACTAGTGGTGAGCTTTGTGTCATCTGACCGAAGCATGTCATCTCACCGTAAGGTGCCATCTCACTGGAGTCAATCCCACACACACACACACACACACACACACACACACACACATATATATATATAGGGTTGGGTTCAGGTGAGAATAGACTTTAGTGAAAGAAATGAGAATAACCCCAATCCTTTAGATTAGATGCTACGGATGGCTAGGATGAAATCTTGCAATTGATGACATACTAAAATAATAATGTGAGGTAATTAATGACTCGCTCCAAAATAGGGGGGGGGGGAAGAAGTTAAAGGAGGGCAAAATTGTACTGTGAAAATGCGCAATACTACTTGAAGAGTCCCAATTGAACGAAAATTGGTTACACAGCCCCCCAAATCATGCTCTTACCAATTTTGAAGTGTGAATTACTCGTGCATATACAAATACTCCCTCGGTCCTATATTTTTCTTTCCGTTGCGCAAAACGAAGAAAAATCTCAAGTTTTTTCAATCTATTTTATTTAAATATTGGTATAGAAATAAAAAATAAAACATACATATTCAAAAACTAGATCAAAAGTTTAACAAAACAAGTGGTGACAAGAATATTTTATTTTATCATATAGGCCATGAAAAAACACAAACAAATATAAATTCCCGTGAAGTTGGAATAATGCTCTAGGAAGAAAGTTTTAGGACAAAGGGAGTATAATATTAAAAGTGTAATATTATTTATTTATTTATTTTATTTTTCTACTACAATGTGAATGCACTTTGATTGTCAATATATGCATTGTGATTTTTCTTTAA